GAAAAACAAAAATTGAGACATTTAAATATTACTCAAAGTGATAAAATTGTGTTGATTTGATCCCAAATTACCCAACAGGATGCTGAGAGGCAGAAGGGCCACCCCACTCTCTCCAGAGGTTTGCCTCTCCAGCGGAAATTTAGCTACTGCCTGTTTGGCAGCTACAGTCTCCAGCCTCCAGGAGAAACATATTTGTGGGCACAGGACTTCCAAGTCTTTGTCCAGGCAGATGTTTGGCTTGCGGGCTGGGCACACTGGCTTCTCTGTCAGCTCTCTGTGGGAATTTTAAGCCACCACCCACCCCATGAGCTGGTCTCTAATCTGGAGGACTGAAGAGTGGGGGTCCCAGAGATCAATTTTTGGCACCCCTTGTCTCAGATCCATGGGGGTACTCAATGTAATAGATCCTCTTTCTTTACTCCCTTGTGTTCCCACCCCAGACTCTCTGAGCATTGCAAAATCACCAGTTACCAAGCTTAACATCTGGTTCCCCTTCTTTCTGGTGAAAATACTTTAGTAATAATAAAGTAAATCTTTTTCCCAAAGAAAATCACCTTTCTCCCATTTCTTTTACTTTAATTACTTTTCCCTCTTGTCCCCTGGCCCTCTCAGGTTTCTTCTCTACTTCCGTATCTACCCCAGAGTGGGCTGTATAATATTCCATTGACTAGAACTGGAATTAGCAATTTTTTGCACAAATCAGACTGAATATATCATTCATTGCAGGCCATCCATTCTCAGTTACAAGTCCTCAAACCTGCCACTGTAGCTAGCAGGCAGTTATAGATGAAATATTAGCAGGTGAGCATGGCTGTATTGTTACCAAAATGTGTTTACAAAGACAAGTTATGGGTTGGATTTGGTCCACGAGATATATTTTGTCTCCCCTTGGACTAAAGGAGCAATTTAAAAAGTGGTTTCAGCTTTTTATTTATTACTTGGGTTTTACCAAATTTTAACTTGTTATGGCAAGTTAAGAGTCTCTTCAAGGGCAGTACAAATGGTAAGTGTGTTTGTGTGTGTGTGTGTGTGTGTGTGTGTGTGTGTGTGTGTCTGCATACCAGAAGGTTCATATTCACTCAGTAGCCCCTCAGAAAGCCTGGGTCAACTTCCAAGATCTCAGCCATTGGAAATCCTGTGGCGCTCAGTACCACTTCAGACACACGTGGGCTTGCGGTGAATCATGGCAGCTGGGTTGGTGTGGGGTTTTGTTACAGGGTAAGTGGTAGTGGAAGTGCCTGGGTGGTGCAGTGGTGCAGGCAGTGGAGCACTCAGGTACTGCTTGGCATGTGCCAGTTGGAACCAACTCAGAGGTGCCACCGAAACAAGCCTTGGTGACATGCTTCCAGAAGGCTGAGGTCCTGACAGCCCCCAGGGGGGTGCAGTTCCACTCTGCACACAGTCACCTTGAGTCTCAGTTGACTCATTGATAACGGTTTTCATTTTGGGTTAGGCAGCGATGATGATGCTCTCATCATCTGCCATTCATTTATATCCTAGACTTCACACTTGTTGTTAAGTGCTGTTGAGTCGCAGGTGACTCATAGTGACCCTATGAAGGAGAGTCCTTGACGCTTGTGTGCCTCTCATCCTCTCTCCAGGTTCATAGGGTTTCCGGAGTCAAGCTATTATGGAAGTGGATGCCACTCCTGCTTCCAAGCTTGTTTTAATCGGGGAGTTTCACCCAACACTGTCCACCATGGGTAACCAACCATTAACACATTTGACACATCAGCGTCACAGTGTTCAGCCTCACAGCAACCACAAGTGACCGTGGTACGGCAACTTGTACGCCAGGGCTATACGACCTAGAGGAATGTCTGAACAAAAACAATGAAAGACAGGCCTGGGCACTACAAGTACCTGGATCCCTCCATATCTGCGGCTCCTCAAGACACCGGAGGCCACGTACAATTGACACTAAGCCTCCCTTACACTTTTTAATTAGTTAATTAATGAATAGTTAGTTAGTAGTCCTGTTGCTGCTGCTGTTAGTGTTCAGTCCATCCCAACTCACGGTAATTCCAGAAGCGTCAGAGTGAAACTGTGATTGAGTTTTCCAGGTTTGGAAACAGAGTGCCAGGCCTTTCTTATGGGCCAGCTTTGGATAGGTTCAAACTCGTAACCCTTCAGTTAATAGCCAAGTACTTAACCTTATGTTCTTCCCCATTATATAAATAAATGAAGACAAGTTTTACTGAAGTTAAATGGTGTTTTCCGACTTCGGATTTCACTAGTAAGTGTGAAATAAATTTAAGATTATAACAAAAAATAAGTGTCAGGGGAGTGAAATATTTGTTAAAAGTTTGTGAATGTGTATACCTGATAAGGGCATCCATAGAATGTATTTTCTACTGTGGACCACAGATGAAATAAAAACAATCAAAACATAGAGTGGAGGGAATTGTCAAGTCATTTAGCTGGTGAGTGTTTTATCCTAAGTCACATCAGAATCCAGATAATAGAAGGTCCAGAGTCCCCTGCATCTCCATGCACTGGGTGGGGTTGTTAATATAGAGATGGCTCCACGCAAGGCTTGCTTTCTACCCAGCCTGTAAACCATAGTGCATGCTTTCTCTGGTCCTGCACACACATTTGTCAAGGCTGGGTTTGAGAGCATGCCGAAGTTCTCTCTTAGAAGTATAGCATTTATGACATCTTCCTGGCTCCATTCTACCCACACCTCTCCAAATAACAACTGAGGGAGATTTCTTTAAAAAGGCCAGCGTGTTACTTCACTTAGCAGAGAGCTCTAAGAGGTTGAAGGTGAGGCAGCTGGTTGACAGTAGTGACTAACTTTACCCTGCCTCAGGGGTGGTACAAACGATTACGTGTTCAATAATAGCAGAAAGGTTGGCAGTTTGAATCAACCCAGTGGCTCCTCAGAACATAAGGCTGCCATGAGTTGAAATTGGTTAACTGAAACATCAACAAAGCATTTTCTAGGAGCCTAGACCTATCACACGTGTGAACAGAATGTGCTAGGTCTCCACTGTTCATATTTGTTGTTGTGCACCATTGAGTCAGAACCAACTCATAATTGACCTTCCAGCAGGTTTTCAGAGGCAGTTAATCACATGAGAGGAGACTGCCCATCTACTGTCCCCCTTTGAGTTGCGAGTGTAACTCTTTACCACTAGACCACCAGAGTTCCCCTAGTAGTAACCTCATTCCAAAGTCTGTAACCCTAACAATTCTTTGCCCCACCTGCCCAGCCTATATCATAGGGAGCCTCAAAAAGATGAGAGTCACTTAACACCAGAGAGTGAAGGATGCCAGAAACTATGCTAGACCAGAAGAAAAAGATACAGCTGCAAGAGGTTACAAAGCCAAGATGGTGAATAATCACCATAAGAGGAAATCGGGAGACACTGTTTATAAATAAGTTGTTGAGCGTTTGTGTTGGAAAGAAACCAGCACCTGGGTATCAAGGCTGTTATGTTAATATTTACTGTATCATAATAGTGAGATTTTTCACGAGGCACTCTGGGTTTAGACTGGGTTTAGGCCTTGGGATAAGAGCTCTCCAGAAGAAAACAGCATGATAAGGACAGAACTTCTGGCAGCCACAGTGGAGGATTATGCTCCTTTAGAGGATGTTCTATACCGGCTGCTCCCTCTCTGTGGGCTGTTGCAGCCTGGTCTGTAGAGGCAGCACTTGGGCTGTGTAACTCTTGGCCACTGTCCTTAATCTACTGCTGGCCTAAAACACTTGCATCTGGGTCACTTCCATGTTAATAATCCTGCATGCCTAGGTTTGATGTCGCTGCTATCTAATGGTACTTATCAAACCACTCAAAACTGATTAGCTTGAAACAACATTCATTTTTCTTATATCTCAGCAATTTGGACAGGACTCAGAAACAAGACAGCTTGTCTCTGTTCTGCTTGCCATCATTTGGGGCAGCGTTAAGGTTGGGGCTGGAGTCTTCTGAAACCTCCTGGAGCTCCTTCAGTCATGCGACTTAGTCCTTGATGCTAGGAATAACTGAATCTGGGCCAGCAGGGGTTGCTTGAGGAGTGCTCTCTATTTGTGTTTGTCCACACGGTTGCTTCAGGATATTTTGTTGTTATCCGCCAAGAAGCTTTGTCTTCTTGAGCTACTTTGAAATTCTGCTCAGCTTTCTTACTTTAGCATTTCTTCCTTTTCTTTCGGCCTCTGTAAACTGTGCACAATAGAGTCTCATCTGACATCCATTTTAGTCTTTCCTTTCTTATCTTTGAAGGGGCATTTTCCTTTTTTCACTGATGATGTTTTTTTTATGTCATCCTACAGCTTGGCTGGTCTGGTCATTAATGTTCAGATACGTTACCAAGATAAGATTTTTAATCCATTGGAAACAAATGAAGTTCAGTTAAAAAAAAAGTTGGAAACAAAGAAGTGTTAGTTGTATGGCACTGGTGACAGAAACGAGGCTGGAGAGAGGATGCTAGAATTTTGTACTATCAATGATCAATTCATAGCAGATACCTTCTTCAAAAAACATAAGTGATGGCTGTACACAGGGACCTCACTTGACAGATTACACAGAAATCAGATTGATTATATCTGTCAAAAGAGTAGATGGGAAAGCTCAATCTTAGCAGTCAAAACAAAGCTGGGGGCTGACTGTGAAACAGACCACCAATTACTCATGTGCAATTTCAAGCTGAAGAAAATGAAACAAAATATGACCTTGAGTCCAAAAAAACAACCTACTAGGTAGGCAGTATTATGCCATTTCTGTACAAGGGACCTCTGGTAGTCTAGCTCATAGGGAATTATGTGGATAAGCCAAAGGCTACATCTCTCTCCCATCAGGAACTCCTTGAGGGAAAGATGGACAGTCTCACTCATATTGTGCAACTTATAGCTTGGAAGGTAAACTGAATCAGTTCTCACTCAGTAGCAGTGGATTTTGTAGATGAGAAAATGGATGAACATTGGCAAGAGGCAGGAGCTGGGATTTGAACTCACATCATTATACTCTTCTGACTATTTTGTTCTTCTGGTCCTCCAGGTCTGTGAGCTCTGCAAGGGAGTGGCCCCCACTGACAGCCCTGTGGTCTACTCTGACAGGGCAGGCTACAACAAGCAGTGGCATCCAACTTGCTTCGTGTGCACCAAGTGTTCCGAGCCACTGGTCGACCTCATCTATTTCTGGAAGGACGGTGCAATCTGGTGTGGTCGCCATTACTGTGAGAGCATGAGGCCCAGGTGCTCTGGGTGTGATGAGGTAAGTTGAGGGGCAGAGGAAGGAGATGAACTGGCAACCCCATTTCTGCGCTGAGAACCCAGAAAGTAAGAGTTGTTTGGCTTCACTGTTGTATTCCATATACTTAAAAGAAAACTAATGTGCAGGCCCAACTGATCTCCTTCAGCCCCTGTTTGCTCATTGCAAACTGAGACTGACCTGCCCACCGTGGGACTGTTGAGATGAGTCAGGAACACAGCACATCACTCATCTCCTGGCAGCTACTAAGTCCTTGGGAGACTATTGGGGGAAAATATCCATGACTGAGACTGCCCATACTAAGACCTGGGCTCTGCATTTAATAGTTGGATAACTTTTGTCTGCTTATCAAACTTCTTGTGCCTCAGTGTTATCACATGTAAAGTTGGAATAATAGTAGTTCATATCCTGTGGAGCTGCTATGAGAACAAACGAGATAATGTTTGAAAATGTTTGACATAGTGAATAATAAATGATAGCCCCTCTTCTTCTTGTTATGTGCCACCAGGTTGGACCCAACTCTTTGCTGACCCTCTAACAGATTTTCAAAGAGAATAAACCTCATTGGAAGCAACTGTCCATCTTTCTCCTTTGGACTAGCTGGTGGATTCGAACCATGTGCCTTCGTTGTTGGCAGTGCAACTCCTTATCACTAGGCCACCAGAGTTCCCCAGCTTCTCTTATGACAAAATGCATCATGCATCATATCATACTATATTTTATTTATATAAAATATACTAATAAAATACACTATATTTTTATTTATATTTTATTGTACTGTACTATACACCAGGTTTTGAGAGGCTGCACATCCACAGGAGGGTCCTTATTTTTAAGTGTCAACAGGACATCCTGGAGGGTCCTTTTTGAGCCCTTCGCCCTACACTTTGGTGACTGGGTGATATGGCAGGAACCTGTTAAGATGGGCATGCTTGTTCTGGTTGAGGGTCAGGTGGAATGTCTGGCTGTTTTGTGATTTAAGCCTCTTATGTCAACAAGAGATCTTTTAATTTAAAAGTTGGTTGGGCTCTTGGACCTCATCTTATTATATTTTGGAGGAACATTCTTCCAAGTCGTACAGCACTCTTCTGTCAATTTGCTGTACTGAGGTAATCTGGATTTGTTGTGATGCTGAACCCTGTGCCATTGTAGTGTTAAATGCCATAACGGTTACCCGTGGAAACATGGTAAACAGTGTTTGGTGGAGCTCCCAGTTTAAGACAGATTTGGAAGCAAGAGTGGTATCCACTTCCTAAACAACATGCCTCTGTAACCTCTATGAACTTTAAGTAATGATTGTTATAGAAATGTCTTCATATTGATTGAAAATCTGTCATCTGTCACCTACATCTACCATGTTGTTATGTTGTTGTTTTGTGCCATCTAGTAGGACTTGACTCATAGCTGACCCTCCAGTGAGTTTTCGAATGCAGTCAATCACACAGGAGGAGGATGTCCATCTTTTTTGCATGGAGTAGCTGATGGATTCGAACTGCATAGCACAACTAAGCCACCAGAGCTCCCTACTATGTAGTAGTCTCTAAATAAAGCTAAGGTCCTGCGGTCAGTTCTCTTGCTTAATAACCGTGCTATCAAGCTATATTAAAAGGGAAACAGACTTTGATAAAGTCTCTCAGTAGGCCTATCTCCTAAATAAATCTTTTGAGAGACCTACCATTAACAATCAACATTCTTGGTACCAGCAGCCAGGAAATTAAAAGACACCTCTCCGAAGTACTGAAGAGCAATGATGTCAGACTGGAGACTAAGATGTCCCTGATCCAGGTCATAGTCTTTGCAATTACTTACCATACATCAGAAAGCTGGACAGTGATTAGGGATGATAGAAGGAGAATTAATGCCTTTGAGCTGTGGTGCTGGAGAAAAGTATTGAATATAACATGGACTACTAGGAGAACAAACAGGTTCATCCTAGAGAGGGTGAGACCAGGCTGTTCTTTGGAGGCAAGGATTCTGAAGCTTAGTCTGACATACTTTGAACATATTGCAAGGATGGACCAGTCCTTGGAGAGGGACCTCATGCTTGGGAGGGTGGAAGGACAGCATACGAGAGGAAGACCCTCAATGAGATGGATTGAATCAGTGACTGGGATAATGAGGGTAGGTGTGTCAGAGACAATAAGATTGGCACAGGATAGGGCAGGGTTTAGGGCTGTTGTACATAGGGTCGCTATGAGTCGCAGGCAACTTGATGGCACATACCAATAATAACAACACTTACTCAAAGTAAGAATTTTTATAATTTATTAAGGTCTTACCACAGGTTGGCAATATGCTGTTTATTCTGTGAATTGTACCATTTAAACTCACAACCCTTTGGGGAGAGATTATCCTCATTTTTCATTTAAGAAGAGTGTAGCTCAGTGAAGCTTACTTAGTGTTAGTGACTAATCCAAACCCTTGAGAATTGTTAGCTCATTTAGTGCTCATAAAGCCCTGGGTGGTGGTAGTAGCTATATCTTTATTGTACAGAAAAGGAAATTGAGGCACAGAGAGATAAAACTGAAAACTATCTAAGTGCACTAGTTCTTATTTTGACTTGCATTGGTTCTTACTTTGCTATTAAAGTAGAAAGCATGTTTAACCAGAAAAGCATGTGATGGGTTTCTGCTCTTTCTGAGCCTCAGCAGTTCCTTGAAATATATGTATTCCAGCATCATTTTGTTCAGGTCCTAAAGGAACTTCTGTGTGCTGGCTCGTGACAGTGGATCATAAGCAGCACCTCAGGATTGGGTTATAATCCTGAGGTACTGTCAGTAAGCCTGTCACCTGGTAAACCTGTCTAAGCACACAGCTGGACATGGAATTTGACCCACTAAATATCAAAGATGCTAGAAAAGTAAAACCTGCCTATAATAGAGAATGATTTTCTCTGCTACTTGAAAAGCTAGCATGCAACTACAGCCTTCCTAAAATACTACATACTTACTGCCTCAGATTTATTTCTGACTTGTCCTTGGAGATACTTCACGTCATGCATGGGCACATGGGCATGATTGCATTAAAGACAATGTGAATGAAGAATAGTGTGAAACACAATGTATACGAACTTTGTAAGCAAACCAATATAAAATTTAAAAAAAGAAAAAATTGGTAAAGAAAAAAATATTAAAAACAACTTCAGTGACAAAAAAAAAATCAAAGTGAGATAAACTGTCACCCTACAACTTGACCTTGGTCCAATTTATCTACCTAGGAAAAAAGCTAAGTTGTGCATTTCTTCTCCCCTACTCAGATAATATTCTCGGAGGACTACCAGCGTGTGGAAGACCTGGCCTGGCACCGAAAGCATTTTGTCTGTGAGGGCTGCGAGCAGCTGCTGAGTGGCCGGGCATACATCGTCACCAAGGGCCAGCTCCTCTGCCCAACTTGCAGCAAATCCAGACAGTCCTGAAGGGCTGCTTGTCCACAACCAGGACCCCCAGAGCCCTACTCAGGAGAAGAGCCAGTGTGTGCTGAAGTCATCCTGAGGTTCTGGTTTCAGCCAGAAAGCAACACAAATGCTAATTTTAGGTTGAGTGATCTTGAATCCTGGAGGGTCACTAGTTTCAAAGGTGGAAATGTTCTATGAAATCTCACAATGGAATTGTTTTTGCTCTTATTATTACTGTTGTTTCCCAGCTACAACCAACTAAAGGCACAAAATAGCATCTTACAACGACTCGTTTCCCAGAATGCAGTTCTCAGTGCTCAAATGGCATAGATCTAGCATGTGTGTGCTTGTTCCTATCAGGAAGCTCCTCCAGGGCAGTGGGCTGGGGTCCTCTTTTCAAATGGAATATGAATGTTAAAAACAGCTGTAGGGGGTTATTTTTTGCATGATAAAAATAATATCAATAAAAATTTTATGCATTATATACCATTATCTACTTATTTACACCACAGCAGTGATTTATGAAACTGGGGGTGGGGGACAAATCACAAACCCCAAATAAAAAACTCAAGCAACACCTCATTGCCATTGAGTAAAAACTGACTCAGAGCTGACCTTCCAGCTGGTTTTCAGAAGTTGTAATTCACACGGAAGGAGACTCCTTATTCTTCTTCACAGCAGCTAGTGGATTTGAACTACTCGTCTTTGGGTTGACTAGGCCACCGTACTCTGAATGCTGGGGACATCTTAGAACACTGACGGGCAGATTTTAAGAATAAGCCAATAAGCTAAAGATGATAGGCAACTCTCAAAACTGTTATTATTGTCAAAAGAGCTCAGAGCTGACTTTCTGGTGTGTTTGCAGAAGCTATAAATCACATGGGAGAAGATTGTCCCAAGGAGCAGTAGATGGATTCAACCTGCCAGAGTAATGCCACTTTTAGGTCAGTGGCACAAGTCCTTATCAGCTGCACCACCAGAGCTCCCTAAGCAGCCTCTGTTACTTTTGTTATGTAACATTGAGTTGGAACCAACTCATAGCTGACCCTCCAGTGGGTTTTCAGAGACAATGAATTGCATGAGAGGAGATTGCCCATCTTTCTCCTGTGGAGCACATTGTGGATTCCAGCTGCATACCATTGAGTTGGCAGCATAATTTCTTACCACTAAGCCACCAGAGCTCCCTAAATATCCAAGGTCCTTTGATTATGCCACTAAGCCAGTGACCCAATTCCCCTTCTTTTTTTTCTTTTTTTTTTTCCAATTCCCCTTCTTATTGCCACACAAAACAAGTTCTCTCTTTATCCTTTATGTGATGCAATATGTTTTCTTATTTGTAAATATATTTTTCGTGAACTTAGTTTCTCATTCTTAATAATAGCAAATATTACTGCAATTGATACCCAAGAAGTTTTAAATTTTTTGCGGTATTTGGCTTCAAATATGAGAAAATTACATGAAAGATGAGACTGTGTAATGTCATGTATGTTACCCATTCATACCGTTGAAGACCTCAGACTGAAAATGATGCTGTTGTGGGAAGGAGTCACACAGTAAGTTGTTGTTTTTTAGGTGCCATTCAGTTGAGTACTACTCATAGTGAACTTATGAACAAAAGATTTAAACCTACTCCTGTCCTGTGCCATCCTCACACCTCCTGACACACAAGAGCCCATTGCAGCAGTCACCTTGTCAATCCACCTGGTTGAGGGTCTTCTTCTCCTGCACCAACCCTCCACCCTTACCAACATCATGTCCTCTAGCAACATGCCCGAAGCCTCATCATTCTTGCTTCCAAAGAGCACTCCGGCTGAATTCTCTCCAAGACATATCTATTCATTCTCTTGGCTGTCCATGGGATGTTCAGTGCTCTTCTCCAACACCACAGCTAAAAGGCATCAATTATCAATTCTTTTCTTTCGTCCTTATTCATTGTCCAGGTCTCAGATGCATAGCTAGTAATCAGAAAGACTGAAGGACCCCCAAACCGCTGGTCCTGTTCTGTCCCGAGTGGACGGCGAAGACCCAAGACTCCAAGACACCGGCTTGATGCAACAGCAAGAGATAAGAGGTTTATTGCGGAGCTCCGGGCCGACCCTTATCTCTGGCAAGAGATAAAGGAACCGACTGAGAGCAGACAAAGTTGGGTTTTTTTATACACTTTAGGGGGATACAACTGAGTATCAGCTTCTCATTGGGTGATGAAAGCACAATTTGAATTCATTGGTTCAGTGTTCACTCAAGGTTTACACAGCATTGTTGCACGTAGCACTTGCGGCAGTCACGTAGCACATGTAGCAGTTAGATAGATCTTTAACCATAGAGTGGTGTCATAAATTCTTAAGTATACAGTGAGTTCAAACTCCAGGGCAGTGGAAAAGCACAAGATACATTGGTTATCAGTCGGGAAACAAAGGCACATGGGTTATCAGTTGAGAAACAATCTTTGCTTATTTGCTCTGCCTTTCTGCTAGCCATTCTTGAAATACTGTTGCCTTGGATACAGCTGGGTGTGGGGCTCTACCAAGGACAATGGAAAATTCCTGAGTTCAGCTTAGCTGAGAACTATAGAAACTTAAGTTTAATTCAGCTGAGAACTATAGGGACTATATTAATTTCAATCTTTTCAAGACCATGGCCTGAAGCAGACACACCTTAGTCCTCAAACTGACATTTTTACTTCTCAATAATTTGGAAAGATCCCTAACTGCAGATTTTTCCAGTGCAATGTGTCTCCTATTTTCTAACTGCTTGTACCAAAGGTGTTAATTGTGGATCCAAGCAAGATGAAGCTATTGACAGTTTCAATCTTCTCTCCATCCATCATGACACTGCCTGTTGAAACAGTGGGAAGAATCTTTTTTTTTTTTCTTTTCTTGCTACTGAGACACAATCCATATGGAAGGCTGCATTTGTTGACCTTCTGCAACAAGTGCTTCAAGTCCTCACAAAAGTCATTTGGGCCCTGACTAAGAGTCTCCAGTTTATAGCCTTCAGTGTGAAGCAGTTGGATTCAGGAGGGTAGATTGTTTTGATTTAACTGAAAGTCAGGCATAAACAGTTTGGTTGTTTTTTATTTTGTTAACAATCAAGTGTAAGATGATTGGTTTTTTGATTTAGTTAACAATCCTCTGTGGGCTGTAAACCTAAATCAGAACCTGGTGGGTGAGTCTTTGTATTTAAAAATCAGTTGGGCCCAAGGACTGCAGGCCTGAGGGTCTGGTTGTTAATTGTGTTTGGGGAGAACTGTCAATTGTACAATACCCTTGTTTACAACATCCTATCAAAACCTTGCTGTATTCTCTTCCCCTTCACTTTATACATCCATTCAATAATCTCTTACTTCCTCTCCCCTCACCTTGGGTCTGAAAGACCCCAAGCTAGGGCTTTTCCCAGACCAGCCGCGACCCCGAGCAACTCACACCAGGTCCACTTGATGTAAGCACAAGAGGCATTTCTTGACGAAGCTTCGGGACGACTTTTATCTCAGAAGTGAGACAGGGAAGTCGACCCTGAACCTCAAAAAGCAAGGGAATTTATACTAAGTCTAGGGGTTCTTTGGCATAGAGATAGCTCATTGGCTCTTTGGAAGAGGAGAAGTTCAATTTTAGGTCAGGTGCCTGCTGCCGACGTTAGTTAAAATATGGTTTTTGCCAGTAATTGTTTCTTCAGTTTGTGGTCAGCTAGTTCCTGGAACACAAACATTCACACAAGATCAAAGGTATAGGTTCTTAAAATACTGATCAAAGGTATAGGTTTTTACAATACAGATCAAAGGTATAGGTTCTTACAATACAGATCAAAGGCATGGGCTTGGGGACATTATTATTATTTTAAATTTTCCTTTCAGGTCTTTGTCAGTCAACCCTCTGCAACTGCTTTTATCTGTGTGTAAACCTTTCCTTAGACTTTTTCCCCCCTTAACCTCCCTTCCAATTAGATCAATTATGTATGTTCTGTTATAGATTGTCAATTGTAATACACATGTTGTCCGATTGTCCACTCACTTCAAGTTCCTTTCCCCTATTCCCTTACTGTGTTCATTGTCCATCCATTCTACTCCTGCTCTCTCAGTCCTCTACCCCTTAGCCGTCTTATTTTAACAACAGTGGTCTCACACACCATTTTTCCTTTTGTGACTGACTTTTTCGTTCATTATAACACCTTCTAGACTTGTATATGTCATGTAGTGTTTCCAGAGTTCTTCATTGTTTTTCAGAGTTGCATAATTAGCTTCTAACAGAGTAGGGTGGATCCTAAACCTGATCTCTTCTAAGACATGTCTTATAAAATGAGCTGACTAAGATTTCTTATAAAAAGAGAGGACTGGAGAAAAGCACACACATAAGAGGGAAGCAAGAAACTTCAAGGAACACTGAGACTACTGACACAGATGAATCCTTATCTAGAGCTGATGTCTTGATTTGTACTTCTAGTTTGCAAAACTGTCAGATAATAAATTCCTTGTCTTTTAAAACCACACACTTGTGGCTTTTGTGTTGTTCCAGAAGCAATATGTGACTAAGACAGTAAACAAAGAAAGAATGAGTTATCAGCAGAACGTATGTGTTCTTACTGTCTTGTTATCTTTAAGGGTTATTGGTTTGTTTTTGTTTTTGTTTTACAGCCCTTTTAATTTTCACTTCTTTCCCCCACCCGGAGCTTTTTTTGTTCCTCTCTACTCATTTATTTACAAAATTTGAATACAAATTTGAACAAATTCTTTCCACTTGCCTTACCCCCATCCATCAAATTGTACAACCCAGTGATTAACTCCCCCCACCCACCCCTGCACATCCACATCCCTCTGCTTCCAGCCTCTCTCACCCCTCCTGGATTCTTATACTCATTCTACAATAACAGATTCATACAATATTTATCCTTGTGGGACTGAGTTAGTTTACTTAGCATAATGCTCTCTAGTCCCTCCCAAGTTAGGTAATAATTTACAAAGTTTTTGCTTCTATGTGCTACATAGTATTCCATTGTGAGAATGTATCATGATTTCTCAATCCATTCGTTTGTGGTTAGACATTGGACTGTTTCCATGTTCTTGAGATGGTGAATAATGCTGCTATGAACACTGGTGTACAAATCTCAGTTTGTGCCTCAGTTCTCATTTTCTCAG